TCAACAAATGCTGCTCCAACACTGAATACCTACCTGTAAAAGAATTAAATTGAACTCCTATCTGACACCATGCACAAACACTCACTCACAGTGGATCATAGAAGGGTAAATGCTAAAATTCTTTCTCTCTTTTTCAAAGATCGTATTTTCAAGTAATCTCTACACCCAACACAGGGCTTAAGCTCACAAGCCTGAGATCAGGTGTTGACTGTTCCACTGACTGAGCCAGCCAGACAACCCCAAAATTATAATACTCTTAGAATAAAACATAGGAATAAATCTTCATGATCCTGGGTTGGGGAATGATTTCTTAGATAGGACACCAAAAGCACAAACAATAAAAGGAAGAATTCGGGGGCACATGGCTGGCTCAGTTGGTGGAGCATGGGACTCCTGATCTTGGGGTTGTGGGCTTGAGCCCCATGTTGGGTGTAGAAATTACTTAAAACTAAAATCTTAAAAAATAAAAATGGGCAGGGGAACCTGGGTGGCTCAATTGGTTGAGTGTCCAACTCTTGATTTCAGCTCAAGTCATGATCCCAGGGTTGTAGGATTGAGCCCCGAATTGGGCCCCATGCTGAGTGTGGAGCCTGCTTAAGATTCTCTCCCTTTCTCTCTCTCTGCCCCTCTCCCCTGCTCCCACTGTCTCTCAAATTAAAAATGAAATGAAATGAAATGAAATGAAATGAAATGCAATAAATGGGCACAGGATTTGAATATTTCTCAAAGAAGATACACAAATGGCCAATAAACACATGAAAAGATGTTTGACATCACTAATCATTAGGGAAATGCAGAGTAAAACCAAAATGGTGGGCACCAGGGCGGTTCAGTCAGTCGGTTAAGCAGCTGACTCTTGGTTTCAGCTCAGGTCTGGATCTCAGGGTTCCTGAGCTTGAGCCCCAGGAGTACAGAGCTTTCTTTGGATTCTCTGCGCCCTTCCCCCTCCCCCCTCCCTCCTTCCCCGTGTGAGAGTCTGCACGTGTGCACAATCTCTCTCTCTGTCTCTCTCTCTCTCAAAATAAATAAACTTAAAAAAAAAAAAAAAAAGAACCACCCAAAAGGATCTACTACTCTATACCCACCAGAATGGCTGGAATAAAAAAAGAGAACAAGTGTTGGTGAGAACGTAGAGAAAGTGGAACCCTCATTCACTGCTGGCAGGAATGGAAAATGGTGCAATCACTGTGGAAAACGGTTTGGCAATTTCCCTAAATGTTCTCACGTGACCCAGCAGTTCCATTCCTGGATAAACAAAAATATATATCCACACAAAGCCTTGCACAAAATGTTCACAGCTGCATGGCTTACAATAGCCCCAAAGTGTAAACAACCCAAGTGCCCAGCCGCCGGTGAATGGATAATGAAATGTGTTCCATCCATACTAAGTAATACTTAACCAGTAATAAAAATGAATGAAATACTGATACATGCTACTGCATGGATGGACCTCAAAAACATTAGACTACGTTGAAAGAAGTCAATCACAAAGACCACATATTATACGATTCCATTTATATGAAATGTCTAGAAAAGACAAATCTATAGAGATAAGAAAGTAGTTGTGCGGTTGCCAGGGATTAGGGGAAGGATGGGGGAGTGACATTAAGTGGGCACAAGGTTTCTATCTGGAGTGATGAAATGTTCTAAAATTAGATAGTGGTTGGGGCGCCTGGGTGGCGCAGTTGGTTGAGCGTCCGACTTCAGCCAGGTCACGATCTCGCGGTCCGGGAGTTCGAGCCCCGCGTCAGGCTCTGGGCTGATGGCTCAGAGCCTGGAGCCTGTTTCGGATTCTGTGTCTCCCTCTCTCTCTGCCCCTCCCCCGTTCATGCTCTGTCTCTCTCTGTCCCAAAAATAAATAAACATTGAAAAAAAAATTAAAAAAAAAATAAAATTAGATAGTGGTGATGATTGCATAAGTCTGTAAATGCACTAAAGACCATTGAATTGTACACTTTATTTTTATTTTTTTAAGCTTATTTATTTTCAGAAAGAGAGAGAGAGAGTGTGTGTGTGTGAGAGCAGGGGAGGGGCAGAGAGAAAGGGGGGAAGAGAGAGACAGAGAGAGAGAGAGAGAGAGAGAGAGAGAGAGAGAGAGAGAATCCCAAGCAGGCTCCTTGCTGTCAGCACAGAGACCGATTCGGGGCTGGAAGTCACAAACCGTGAGATCACGCCCTGAGTCAAAACCAAGAGTCCGATGCTTAAATGGCTGAGCCACCCAGATGCCCTGAATTGTATACTTTAATGGTATGGAAATTAAATCTCAATAAAGCCGTTTTTTTTTTTTGTTGTTGTTGTCTGTTTTTTTAAGAGGTAAGTTTGAGGGGCGCCTGGGTGGCTCAGTTGGTTGGGCGTCCAACTTCAGCTCAAGTCACGATCTCGCGGTTCGTGAGTTCAAGCCCCACGTCGGGCTCTGGGCTGATGGCTCAGAGCCTGGAGCCTGCTTCAGATTCTGTGTCTCCCTTTCTCTCTGTCCCTACCCCGCTCCCTCTCTCAAAAATAAATCAGCACTAAAAAATAATAATGATAGTAAGTAAAATCATTATTGGGCAACCAGTAGAGTAATAATTGATTCACGCAAGAATCATCAATGGATGCTAAAATTAGTGGGTAAAAGCTGGAGGATTAGCAGGATATTTACACAGTCTCCAAGTATCCCTCCACAAGATACCTATTAATTTTTCAAAGAGAAAACAATAACCTTGCAATGGCCAAACCTGGCAGACACAAAGCTAACCAATGGTCAAGTTAACATCACCACTAACAGGAGAAATTGGTGCCATATGCCTCCTGATAGGGTGGATGCACTGAGAATCAACAGAGCATTAGTTCTGGAGTATTCTGGCCCCCAATTCACAAACTGAATCTAATCATAAGAAAAGCATTGGATGTATCCAAACTGAGGGACATTTTACATAATAACCAACTCTTCAAAAATGTCAAGACTACGAAAGACGGGGTAAGACACATTTTTCCAGATTGAAGAGGCATAGAGAGACACGCAAGAGACTGCAACATGTGATTTGGGATTATCTTTTGTAGTAAAGGACTCGATCTGGGCAACCGGTAAAAACTAAGTCTATTGGTTAGGTAATAGCATTACATGAGGGCTGATTTTCTGATTTGGATAATGTTACTGTGGTTATGGTGTCACATAAGCCCTTATTTTTAGGAAACATGCTTAAGGCATTTCTTGGTGAAGGGCCAATGTGTCTGTAACCCACTCTCAAATGTTTCAGGAGAAAAACATTGGGTAACAGAGAGTGATAAAGTGAATGCAGTAAAATGGTAACTTTCTTTTTTTTCAATGTTAATATTTGAGGAATGCGGGTAAAGATTGTATGGGAACTGCTTGTACTATTCTTCTTTTTCTATTTTAATATTTATTTATTTATTTATTTATTTATTTATTTATTTATTTATTTATTTTTAAAGTAGACTGCATACGTAGACTGCATACCCAACGTGGAGCTTAAACTCAAGACCCTGAGTTCAAGAGTCACAGGCTCTGCTGACTAAGCCCCTCCTTATTCTTTTTTAATTTTTAAAGGTTTATTTATTTTTTGAGGAAGAGAGAGACAGAGCATGAGCGGGGAAGGGACAAAGAGAGAGGGAGAGGCAGAATCCGAAACAGGCTAAACAGAGCTGTTAGCACAGAGCCCGACGAGGGGCTCGAACTCATGAACCGCGAGATCGTGACCTGAGCCGAAGTCGGATGCCCAACGGGCTGAGCTACCCAGGCGGCCCCCTTCCTTGTGGTCTTCTTGCAATTTGTTGCTAAGACTGCAGTCTCCTCTCCATCCCCGCCCCCCCCCCTCCAAAGTTACAGAACATTAAAATATCTTCTGCCTCTGGACCGAAAGGCTATATTATTGCTCATCATTTGTGGCACTGAGGGAATCTGGTAAACCTATGAAAAAATGGTCACCAGGGTTTTGAGTAATTAGAATTTCTTTCCTTTATGTCTGTTCTCTTTGCAAGGCCCAACCTTGGGCATGGGTCTCAGCAAATTTGATTTATGTGCCATATGATTTTATACATTCCATGTTAGAATGTACATTTGGCTACATCTATCTTTCAAAGACAATAGTGGCTTAAATGTGATGCAAGGTTAGCTTCTTCCTCCAGTAACAGAACTCGGCAGTCAGTCCAGGGCTGGTACGGAGGCCTTCTAATCAAGAGACCGGAGACCCCGCCCCGGTCTTACCGCTCTGTGGCTCGGTGAGCAGCCTCATGATCTAAGCTGGCTACTGAACCTCCAGACAACACTCATATTCTAGTCGGTAGGAACTAGGAAGGAGCAAAGAACTTGGGTGCTTCACGTTACCCTTTAAGGACGTTTGTTAGGCACTCCACGTGGCAGTTCTGGTGTCACCTCTTTGTTCAGGGCAACTTCTGGCTGCAAGAGAGGCTGTGAATTGCAGTCTGGGCAGACATGTTCCATCCAAAAGTGGAGGAGAAGAAACACGGCTATTGGGGTGTGTGACAAGCCTGCATTCCAAAGCCAGAAGGAAGTAATCACCAAGGACAATTTAACAACTCTGACTCCGGGGACAGTATCGGGACTGGTGGCATACAAGACACTAGGTTTGGGTGGGGGTGGCCTGGGCGCCGTACGTGGAGACAGGAGATGTTTGGAAAGAGGAGAACAAAACAGGAACAAGTCCAAAGATGCCCCGGAAAGTAGGATGAAGGACAGTAAGACGTCTGGTTAAGAGGTGTGGTATGAGTAAGACTGCGGCTGCTAAGGGAGGAAGGGGAGGGAAGGAAAACAGGAAGAGGAAAGAGGCAGGCAAGAAAGCACGAGATGCGCCAAGCAAGGGAGAGAGGTCGGGAATGGCAGGGGAGAAAGCTCAGCTGTTCCCGTCGGCCTGAGGCTGGCTCCTTGGTCTCCGGGGCTATGGCTTTTGACCCGTCTGGAAGGAGAGTTCCAGGAAGCACAGCTTTGTCCGGTGCACTGAACCACTATCTACTTCCAATGGTCATGTGGTTGGAGACTCTTCACTTCACACAAGCCTTTATTCAAGTAAATCAGGCGAGCGGACGTGATACAAGGGCCAGCGAAAAATAATGAGGCCGCGCTGAAAAGAAATCCGGCTGTGTGCAAGTGGGGATTTGAATGACGGCTGATAAATCAACCCTTGGCCCTGCTGCTGTCTTCTGGGACACCGGGGTTCACTCTTATGGGAGGGCCTCTGGTTGTGGCTCTGAGGAGGACCGCTGAGTTCCATGAAAGCTGGTCACAAGGCTCGTGGGTCTGCAAGGTTTTTTTGGTTGTTGTTTATACTTTCAGGCTCCTTAATACAACGGACTTACATCCGATATACATTTGGCTCCTTTCTTGTCCGGAGAACCACAAGGGATATTTACCTTTCCGCCAAACCTATGGAGCAAAAAGAGGTGTTTAGGTAAAATTAGGTACTAGAAGCTTTCTGAGGGAATGGGTGTTTTCACAAAGCACTTCATTTATAGTAAATGTTTATATTATAGCATCCTAGAGCTGAAAGGGACCCTTTTCGCTGGGCATAAATATTTCCACAAAGGGCTGCAGAGATTGGAGTTTACTTTGTTTATAGAAATTTGCTCTACCCCACTCATGAGAATTTCACGACTGTAGATGCTTGCCTGTGCCAGTAATTTCAAAATCTAGAACTGGTGAATTTTTGCAAGTTTTGCAAAATATTTTGCAAGCCTGGATGCGAATTCCTTTGAAGAGTTTAGGTCGTGGTCAAGGGCCTGTAGCTACTCCCAGGAAATCACTCTCCCTGTCCCCAAATGGTTCTTTAGAAAGACAAAGGGAAACCAAGATACTAACCAAAGCAGTGACAACACAGTGGGAAAGTTCTGGTGTCTCTGAGTCTAGACCCAAGCACTGTGATCAAATAAACTGCTTGGCCTATTAAAAACACACTGAAGGCAACGCATTTTTGTTTCGCAACATATGAGAGGGCCGGTTGCCAAGTACTTGGTTATGAATGTGGAATCTAAAAAAACAGAACAAAACAAAACAAAAAACCCCTGCACTTTGTCACTCTCTTCATACCGGATTAACCCTGTAGCATCAGAAATGGCAGAAGAAATTGACTCAAGGCACTTGAACAGGGAGAGTTTCTTTGCAGGACTTTATGTAAAAATGGGAAATCAGCTTCTGGGAGAGGGGGGGTCTTTGGTATACAGCTGGCCTGTAGATAGAAACTGTGAGGAACCTTGACCCTTTCTACGGAAGAGTTACCTGCTGGAGAGAAAGATTAAAATCAAGCTAAATAGAACAGAAAAAGCCTAAGGGGTGTTTTTTCCCTGAAAGTGAAGTTTGACTTGTAATTAAAACACTGTTCTCCCACCCCCTCAAGCTGGTTCTTAGCCAAAACCCTCACGACTATTTTTTTTTTTCTTTTTAGTAAACTCCACACTACACGTGGGGCTCGAACTCACCACCCTGAGATCAAGTCACATGCTCCACTGACTGAGCCAGCCAGGCACCCCTCCAACAACCCCAATCCGATGGGCAGTAAGGCCCAGGTCTCATGGCCTCTCAAGACCTAAACACTTTTCCTGGTACATCCTAACGTTTCTAAAGTTTATTTAGTTTGAGAGGAGAGAGAGAAAGAGAGAGAGAGCGCCATGGGGCAGGGCAGAAAGAGAGAGAGACAGAGACAGAATCCCAAGCAGGCTCCGCCCTATCAGAGCAGAGCCTGACCAGGGGCTCGATCTCAGGAACCATGAGATAATTATCTGAGCCTGTATCAAGAGTCGGACGCTTAACTGACTGAGCCACCCAAGCACCCCAATCCCGATACTTGTAAAGATGAGGTTTGCCATGTAAGGCTTCATCCCTGAATTGTGTATTTCTTGCTGTGCGTGTTGAAGGAAAGCATCCACTCTGAACCTTCCACTGCTAGAATATGGGATTTGGACTTGTGGCCCTCAGTTCCAATGGCAATAGGACCCAGGATGACAGTTTCCTCTGACTTCACCCTGTTTGGGTGCCCTTTGCCTGTGGAAGAAATCTTGGTCCCATGGCAAATGCCAAAAATAGGCTGGTAGGGTGTTTCTGATTTGTTCACTGGTTTGCTCATTTGATGTTCGTTATTAACTGGAACACAAGAGATGAAAGGCAGGAAGAAAATAAATGGGTATTTTCCAATTCTCGACTTTGAAACTGAAACGTTTGAAAGTAGGAGGAGGTAACCTCGTTAGGCACTTAACTCTCGCCAAGCTCTGGTTTCAGATGCCTAGGATCCTCACGACAACCAACGGGAAAGGCTATTTTATCGTTCCCATTTTACAGATGGGGAAACTACAGGAGGGAGAGAGGCAAAGGACTTACCCAGGGTCGTTTGATCGGAAGAAACAGCATCGCTGGAGCCTTGCTCTGGAGCCTCTGCCTCTATTCGCGGGTGATGGGACTCCAGGCATAATATGGTTTCTTTTTTCTCAGACCTGTCCCTAGAGGTACAGATTCTGCCTTCAAGTTGTCTTCTTCCTCTTTGACAGTTCTGTGGCCTTTTTATTTCCTTCCTGCTCTGCTGATTCAGGACCCCAGGAAGCCTGGCTTCCTCTGGCGATCAGTTTGAGGACCGCCTGTAGACAAGCAGACTCAGCAAAGCACGCTCCCCACAGGAGAGCCTGCGAAAGGTCAGAGAACTGAGGCAAAGGCAAACCACAGAGGTGCCTGTGCATGCTCACAAACACAGACGCACTGAAAATATCTAACTGGCAGAGAGAAGGAAAGGTGGTGGGTACAAGACTGAAAAGCAAAAACAGCATGGCTCAAGCTGGAGGACGTTATGCCGAGTGACATAAGCCAGACACAGAAAGAGAAACACTGCATGATCTCGCTTCTATGTGGAATCTAAAAAAGCCAAACTCCTCTGGGGAGCCTGGGTGCCTCAGTAGGTTGAGCGTCTGATTCTCGGTTTCGGCTCAGGTCGTGATCTCACGGTTCATGAGTTCGAGCCCCACACGGGGCTCCTGGATCTTGACAGTGAGAAGCCTACTTGCAATTCTCTCTGTCCCAATCTCCCGGCCCCTCTCCTGCTTGTGCTCTCTCTTTCTCTTAAAACAAAACAAAACAAAACAAAAAAAAACTACCCAGGGGCTCCTGGGTAGTTGAATCGTCCGACTTCGGCTCAGACCATGATCTCACAGTTTGTGAATTTGAGTCCTTCAGCAGGCTCTCTGCTGTGAGCACAGAGCCGGCTTCAGATCCTCTGTTCTTTCTTTCCACCCAGTGACGTGCGCGCGCACACACACACACTCTGAAAAATAAACATTAAAAAAATTGCTTTAAATAAAAATAAAAAAGTCAAATTCCTTGAACCAGAGTAGAATGGTAATTGCCAGAAACTGTGGGATCAGGGAAATGAGGAGATGTTTGTCAAAGGCTACAAATTTTCATGTTTCCTAAGATGGCAAGGCTCTGGGGATCTGATGAATGGTGTGGTGGCTATAGTTAATAATACTATGTTGTATACTTGAAATGTGCGAGCAGAGTAGTTCTTAAGAAAAGTAAACTATGTAAGCAGATGGATGCGTTAATTAACTTGATTATGATAATCATTTCACCAGGTATACACGTATTAAATCATCACATTGTACACCTTAAAAAATCACCTAGCGCAACCTTAAAAAAAAAAGAAGCAACTTGATAGGTTTAGGGATGCCAGACACTTTATTTTTCATTGTTAAATTTTTTTATTATTTTTTTACTATTTTAAGATTTTATGTTTAAGTAATCTCTACACCCAATGTGGGGCTCAAACTCCCGAACCTGAAATTAAGAGTTGCATGCTCTTCTGACTGAGCGAGAAGGGTTGCCAGAAACTTTAAAAGTCTATTTCTTTTTAGAAAGATATGTTCTGCCTTTATGTCAAAAGAAAAGTACATAGTCTTTTGCTTGTTTGTTAAAGATGTCCACTGAGTTTTGCATTATTTTTATTTTTTTTAATATTAAAAAAATATTTACGGGCACCTGGGTGGCTCAGTTGGTTAAGCATATGACCGGCTCAGGTCATGATCTTGCGGTCCACTGAGTTCAAGCCTCGCGTCGAGCTTTGTGCTGACAGCTCAGAGCCTGGAGTCTGCTTCGGATTCTGTGTCTCCCTCTCTCTCTGACTTGCCACCGTTCACGCTCTCTCTCTCTCTCTCTCTCTCTCTCTCTCAAAAATAAACAAACATTAAAAAATATATTGAGATATTTATTCATTTATTTTGAGAGAGAGAGAACGAGTGAGGGGGGAGCACAGAGACAGGGAGAACTGTTAAACATAAGTTTAACCATCTTTAAAAAAGATATTATTTTTTTTTAACTTTTTTTTAACATTTATTTATTTTTGAGACAGAGAGAGACCGAGCATGAACGGGGGAGGGGCGGAGAGAGAGGGAGACACAGAATCGGAAGCAGGCTCCAGGCTCTGAGCCATCAGCCCAGAGCCCGATGCGGGGCTTGAACTTAAGGACCATGAGATCGTGACCTGAGCTGAAGTCGGACGCTTAACTGACTGAGCCACCCAGGCGCCCCAAAAAGGATATTATTTTTAAGTAATCTCTACACCCAATGTGGGACTCAAACTTACAACCTCAAGATCAAGAGTCACATGGGGGTGCCTGGGTGGCTCAGTTGGTTAAGCGTCCAACTCTTGGTTTAGACTCAGGTCATGATCTCATGGTTTGTGGGTTCAAGCCCCGCATCCGGCTCTGTGCCAATGGCATGGAGCCTGCTTGGGATTCTGTCTTCCTCTCTCTGTCCCTCCCCTGCTTGCTCTCTACCTCTCTCTCTTTCTCTCAAAAATAAATAAATACACATTAAAAAAAAAAAAGTCGCATGCTCCACTAACTGAGTGAGCTAGGTATCCTTAAGATGAACCATTTTATTTTGTTTTATTTTATTTTATTTATTTGTTATTAAATTTTTTTTAACATTTATTTATTTTTGAAAGACAGAGAGAGACAGAGCCCAAGTTGGGGAGGGGCAGAGAGAGAGGGAGACACAGAATCCGAAGCGGGCTCCAGGCTCTGAGCTGTCAGCACGGAGCCTGACGTGGGGCTCGAACTCATGGAGTGTGAGATCATGACCTGAGCCGAAGTTGGACGCTGAACCGCCTGAGCCACCCAGGCGCCCCTAAGAGGCACCATTTTAAAGGGTACAATTCAGTGGCATTTAGTACACGGCTTATTACACTTACCACCCGTAGTTCCAAAACATGTTCACTCCAAAAGCAAACGCCGAATCCGTTAAACAACTGCTCTTCGTTCTTTCCTGCCCCCAGCCCTTGGCAACGGTAGAAACTTTTAAAATGCCTAGTGAGTTGGCAGAAAGTACCGTCTTCCTCTACCCCCACAGACAGCTGGGAAGAGTGGGTGACAGGACCATAACACTGGAGTAAGGGACTGCTTCTCCTGTCCTGCCTTCACTGAGGCTGAAAGGGAGAACACCCATGGCCAGTGCTGGTTTTGTTGCACCGATGTTGCTCCTTCCTCCAGGCCAGACTGAAGTTCCGTGCCCACTCACACGCACGGTCTCTTGCTGCAGTCTGGGCCTCTTGGAACTCCAGAATTTCAACACCATCCAAACGCTCCGGCCGGGCATGAATAGATAAGCGTTAGGACCCCCAGTAGAGTATCACTGAAGCTTAAATAAATGAAAAGACCATGGAAAAAAAAAAAAAAGTGCCAATATACCAAATACATATATATAAAACCAAATATTGGTTTTATATACATATTTATATACATATTTATAAAACCAAACATTCAGCCCAATATTTTATAACTGTTTGTTTTGTTTATAAATGTTTATTTATTTTGAACTTTTTAAAAAGTGTGTATTTATTTTTGAAGGAGAGAGAGAGAGACAGAGTGTGAGGGGCAGGGGGGTGGGAGGGTCAGAGAGAGAGGGAGACACAGAATCTAAAGCTGGTTCCTGGCTCTGAACTGTCAGCATAGAGCCCTAGGCCGGGCTCGAACTCATGAGCCACAAGATCATGACCTGAGCTGAAGTCGGACGCTTAACTGACTGGGTCACCCAGGTGGCCCAAATGTTTATTTATTTTGAGGGGGGGAGGGACAGTGAGAGAGGGAGAGAAACCCATGCAGGCTCTCCAAGGGCTCGATCTCCGTGTTCTCGAGATCATTCCCTAAGCCAAGATCAAGAGTCCTGCACTTAACCACCTGAGCCACCCAGGCGCCCCCAAGTTTTTGTTTTAAACTTTTTCATTGTGAAATAGAACACCCTTCCGGAAACACATAGGAGACGGAGATGTTCAGCTCATTGTTTTATGGAAAGAGCCACATCACAAAACATTCGGTCAAGCAACTTAGACCTCTCACTCCCGCCTTCTACCTCCTTTTGAAGACAATCATCTCCTTGGTAAACAGAGGTATTCATCAACACTAGGGTTTTGTTTGCATTTTGAACTTTGTATAAATGGACTTACACAGTATAGACTGTATTGTAATTGCTGTGTTTGGCTCAGCACAGTTTGTGAGATTCATTCATGTTGTTCAATGAAACAGTAGTTCATTCTTTCTCATTGCTATGTGGTATGCCATTACGTGAATATGGCAGTTCACTTATTTTTTTTATGAGAACAGTTTTATGTAGTGAAGTTTATTGTCTTCTGTTTGGTTAGTGTGTGGTTTTTTTTGTTGTTGTTGTTCTGTTTAAGAAGTTCTTCTTGGGGCGCCTGGGTGGCTCAGTTGGTTAAGTGTCCGACTTCGGCTCGGGTCATGATCTTGTGGTTCATGGGTTCGTGCCCCACGCCGGGCTCTGTGCTGACAGCTCGGAGCCTGGAGCCTGGAGCCTGCTTCCGATTCTGTGTCTCCCTTTCTCTCTGACCCTCCCCCCATTCATGCTCTGTCTCTCTCTGTGTCAAAAATTAAACGTTTAAAAAAATTAAAAAAAAAAAGAAGTTCTTCTTATTCTCAGGTTGTGGAGATCGTTTTTGGTATTATCTTCTACTTCTGAATTGTCCAATATAGTAGCTACTTGTGGCTGTTTAAGTGAGATTAATTAAAATGAAATAAAATGAAGAAAAAAATTCAGTCCCTGGGTCTGTAACAGCCTGCCCTATTGTCAGCCTTGGCATTACCTAGGATAGTCACCATTATTGAACTTCTTGGTGGAGCTGGTACCCTTCGAACCAGGACATTCCTTATGGTCTGATAAACAGTATGTCTTTTGAGCCTTTCTGTGAAACCTAACAAATATCCGGTGGGTCCTGCTGTTCAGTGTTTCTACTACCTTTTAATTCACTTCTCCACCTTCTACCATGGCAATTCTGGATCCTTAACAGAACTACTAAATCCCGTATCTCAACAGAGCACTCCCAAGTCAACAGAGTTACCCAGTTTAATCTTCTGGCCCCTTTGATGAAGCATGCTTAGAATCCAGTCCCTGGCTGCAGCCAGTGCCTACTGGAGACGTCTTGAAGCCCTCTTCCGGGGTATAATCCCTTGGCCCGTCCTTGGCTGGCATATGCCGTGACTTACGCTATAGGCACGGTGGCGGGGGAGGGGGAATTCTCAGAGGGGCCTATACTCTTCTCAGGGAGAGGCTCCCACTTGGGAGGTTAGGGGGTGATGGACCACTTCTGCAGGATCAGAAGGTTCATAGGACGCGAGGGAGTAATCTTCAGAGCTATTGTCCATAGGTCTTTATCCCATCTAGGGTCCTGACATAACAGACCTGACTTTGTTGGGTGTTTAATCTTCTTTGGCGTGGTCCTTAGCTTTCTCTGCCTTGCCACTGCAGGAGTTGAGCACTTCATTAGATGCAACCAAGGGGTCTGTTTTTGACATCTGGTTTTCCATTGCTTATTACCTCCCGCTGTTCATCATCTTCTTGTAGAACACGCGTGGTAATTGTCGATCAGCACCGAAATCTTTGATCTCTCTAGTAACCATTTCCTCCAAAAGTCTCAAGTGCCTGATATGCTCTTCAGTTGGTGCTTTCACTTGCACCCGGACACACATTCTCATGCACCAACAGTAAGGCTCTGAGCAACTGAACCAGCACCTTATGTCAAGGGCTGTTTTGAGACCCACCAACTTATCGCCAGCGAAGGGGACCTCCTTGCCAGCCTATTCCAAACGCATCTTGTCACCCGCTCCCTGGAACTGCCGGTGTCAGCTGTGGTGGGTTATGCTCTCCAGAGGCAGAGACACAGTGTGGGGTGCAAGATGTTTATAGGTGGCGGTACTGGGGGCAGCGAGATCACTCAAAGGAAAGAGTGAAAACGGCGACGCTGGCCCAACAAAGCTTCGGTCAGTGATGTGGCAGGAAGTTGCCTTCTGTCTCCAGGGCTTTGGAGTGTCCTGCATGAGGTCGAAAAGGCACTTTCACGTTCCTGTCTCATTCGGTCACTGCACGCGTGCTGCTCTGGGCCCCATGTGCCCTCAATCAAGGCAGCGCTGCAGCTGAGACAGATCCTGAAGGAGCTGGTAGCTGGAGGTTGGGCACAAAGTTCCTTCCTTCCTTCCTTCCTTCCTTCCATCCTTCCTTCCTTCCTTCCTTCCTGTGTTTAGTTCTACATCGAGGTCTGCCATGTTTCATTAGATTTATTCCTGTGTACTCAGTATGTTGACATTGTAGCATCTTTTTAAGCTTTTTAGAATTTACGTGATCATTGCTTTATTTTTTAATTTTTATTTATTATTTTTAAAAATTTATTTTTTAATGTTTATTTTTGAGAGAGAGAGAGACTGCGAGCAGGAAAGGGAAGGAGACAGGGAGACACAGAAGCTGAAGCAGGCTCCAGGATCTGAGCATTGGGTCAGCATAGGGCCCAATGCGGGGCTCAAATCCACAAACCATGAGATCATGACCTGAGCCAAAGTCGGAGGCTTAGCCGATTGAGCTACCTGGGTGTCCCTATTTAAAAAAAAAAAGTTTATTTATTTTGAGAGACAGGATGTATACGTGAGCATGTGTGAGTAGGGGAGAGGGGCAGAGAAAGAGGGAGAGAGAATCCCCAGCAATCTCCACGCTATCAGTGTGGAGCCTGACTTGGGACTCAGCCCCATGAACCATGAGATCATGATTTGAGCCGAAATCCAGAGCCCCTAGAAATACATTTTATTACTGATATTAGCAGCCTTACTGAACTCACTTGTTAATCCAAATTATGCATTTTGGGATTTTTCTACACACATAATCAGGTTATCTTGTAAACAATGAGAGTTCTTTCTTTTCAGACTTACATCCTTTACTTTTTTATTTTTTTCTACTTACTGCACTGGCTTGGTCCTTCATAACGATGCTGGACAGAAATGGTCAAAGGGGCACCTGGCTGGCTCAGTTGGTGGAGCATGTGACTCTTGATCTTGGGGTTGTGAGTTTGAGCCCCACGTTGGGCAAAGAGCTTACTTAAAAAGAAACAGAAGTGGTCAAAGCAGGCATCCTTGTTGCCAATTTAAAGGGAGAATTTTTAATATTTGACTATTTGGTGTAATGCTTGTAGGTTTTTGTATACCTACACTTGGTTTGTCAAAGGTTTTGTACAACCTTAAATGAAGTTAAGAAAACTCCTTTCTTGGGGCGCCCGGGTGGCTCAGTTGGTTAAGTGCTAGACTTCAGCTCAGGTCATGATCTCACCAGTTCATGGGTTCGAGCCCTGCGTCGGGCTCTGTGCTGACAGCTCATAGCCTGGAGCCTGTTTCAGATTCTGTGTCTCCTTCTCTCTCTGCCCCTCCCCACGCTTTCTCTCTCTCTCTCTCTCTCTCTCAAAAATAAACATTAAAAAAATTAAAAAAAAAAGAAAACTCTTTTCCATTCCTACTTGGCTAGCACATATATTTAAAAAAAATCATAAATGGTGTTGAATGTATTCAACACTTTTTTTTTTTTTTTTACAACTCTTAAGATGATCATGATTCTTCCCTTTTAGTCCATTAAGATAGTGAATTACACAGATCAATTTCTCCAATGTGAAGGCAAACTAACATCCCTACAATAAATCCATGCTGGCGGGCTCTGCACGGATATTGCAGAGCCTGCTTGGAATCCTCTCTCCCTCTGTCTCTCTGCCCCTCACCCACTTCTGCTCTTTCTCTTTCCCAAAATAAAAAAATAAACTTAAAAAAAAAAAAAAGTCCAGACTGGCAATGATGTATTATGTTTATATATTGCTGGATTCATTTTGCTGATTGTTTGTTTAGGAGTTTGGTGTCTACATTTATAAGTGAGGTCAGTCTATTTTCGTTTTTCTGTAATGTCTTTTTTAGGTTTTGGTATCAATATTATGTTGGCCTCAGAATGAGTTAGGGATTATTTCCTTTTCCTATTCTCGGGAGTTTATCTAAGGTTGGTGCTATTTCTTCATTAAATAGAACACCCTGACAAAACTATCTAGGCCTGGAGTTTTCTTTGAAGATTTTATTTAATTATTATTTTGAAAAGATTTTTTAAGTGATCTCTACACCCAATGTGGGGCTTGAACTCACAAACCCAATGTCAAGACTCATGTGCTCCATTGACTGAGCCAGTCAGGCGTTCCCGAAGATTTTAAATTATAGTCTTAATTTTAAACAGTAGATACAGGACTATTTAGGTTTTATGTTTCTTATTTTTATGTACCTTTATATTTCTTATTGGTAAACTGTATTTTCAAGGAACTTGTCTTTTTTAATCAAATTTTTAGACTTATTGTCATAAAGCTCAGTATGATCTCATTTGTAACGACTGAAAATCTGTAGAAATGTTTCCTTTCAAATTTTTTGGCATTATTTGTGCTTTTTAAAATTAGTCTCACCAGGGGCTTAATAATGTTATTAGTCTCATCTAAGAAAGAACTTTTTTTTTTCAATATTTTTTTTTAACGTTTATTCATTTTTGAGAGACAGAGCATGAGCGGGGAAGGGGCAGAGAGAGAGGCAGACACAGAATCCAAAGCAGGCTCCAGGCTCCGAGCCGTCAGCACAGAGCCCGACGCGGGGCTCGAACCCACAAACTGCGAGATCATGACCTGAGCCGAAGTCGGAAGCTCAACCGACCGAGCCACCCAGGCGCCCCCAAGAAAGAACTTTTGACTATGTTTCCATTTATTCGCACTTTCATTGTGCTTAATTAGCTGCTCTCTTTCTAATTTCTCATGAAGAATACTTGGCTTATTTTTGTCTTATTTTCTATTAAGAAACATAACTTTCAATGTTAGTATGGCTTTAGTTGCACCTTAATTTGAGAATGTAGTATTCGAAAATTTTTTCAGTTTAAAATATTTTCTAACTCCTATTGTGATTAAAAAAAATTTTTTTAAGATTTATTTATTTTTGAGAGAGAGACAGAGTGAGAGGCAGAGCGAGAGTGGGGGAGGGGCGGAGAGAGAGGGAGACACAGAATCTGAAGCAGGCTCCAGGCCTGCGGGGGTGCGAACCCAGGAAGTCAGACACTTAACTTACTGAGCCACTCAGGCGCCCCCTATTGTGATTTCAAAAGAAAAAAAACATCCATGCATTATTCAGGAGTATACACAGTTTTCAAATATGTAGGTATTTTTTTACTTACCTTTTTTCTTCTCGTTGTCTAGCTTAATTGCATCATTGTCTGAGAATGTACTCTGTATAATTCAGCGCGTTTGAAATTTGTTGAGACTTGCTATATTGCCTGGCCTTTTCATAAACATTCCATGTTCACGTGAAAAGAATCTGTGATCTGCAGTTGTGAGCCCAGTATTCTCTCTATATCTATTAGGTAAAGCTTTGCTTATCCAGTTATCCAAATACACTTCTTACTAGTTTTACATCTGTGTGTTCTAACAGTTGCTGATACACATATCGTCTGCTAGAATTGTAGATTTGTCTTTATCGTCTTGCAATTCTGCCCATGGTTTTGCTTTTCAGATTTTGAGGATATGTGTGTTAGGCTTGGACAAATTTAGAGTTGTTATATCTTCTTGGTGAATTAAGTATATTTTCATTATGATGTGTCCCTCATAAAAATTTCTAGTAATGCCTTTTGCAGTAAACCTGCTTTGTTTTGGTTAGTTTTTGCATAGTTTGTGTCTTTTTCAATTTGTTTTTGTTTGAAAAATCATGGGGGTGTCTGGATGGCTCAGGCGGTTAAGCGTCTGACTCTTCATTTCAGCCCAGGTCACGATCTTATGGTTGGGGAGACTGAGCCCTTCGTGGGGCTCTGGCTGACAAGGGAGAGCCTCTTTTTCTGCTCTTCTCCCACTTGTGCGCTCCCTCTCAAAATATATAAACATTAAAAAAAAATAGTGGTGGGGCGCCTGGGTGGCGCAGTCGGTTAAGCGTCCGACTTCAGCCAGGTCACGATCTCGCGGTCCGTGAGTTCGAGCCCCGCGTCAGGCTCTGGGCTGATGGCTCGGAGCCTGGAGCCTGTTTCCGATTCTGTGTCTCCCTCTCTCTCTGCCCCTCCCCCGTTCATGCTCTGTTTCTCTCTGTCCCAAAAATAAATAAAAAACGTTGAAAAAAAAATTAAAAAAAAAATAGTGGTAAAATACACCTAACACACAGTTTACCATCTTAACCATTAAAAATTTGAAAAAAAAAATGTTTGCTGTTTTATTTATTTTTGAGAGAGAGAGAGAGAGCGAGCAGGAATGGGGGCAGGGCAGAGAGAGAGGGAGACAGAATCTGAAGCCAGCTCCAGGCTGAGCTGTCAGCACAGAGCCCTGACACGGGGCTTGAACTCATGAACCGCGAGATCATGACCTGAGCCAAAGTCAGATGCTCAACTGACTAAACCACCCAGGCGCCCCTAAAACATTTTTTTTTTATGGTAGTAAGAAACACATAAACTTTACCATTTTAATCATTTTCAAAGCGTACAGTTAAGGAGTGTTAAGTACGTTCACAATGTTTTGTGATTTCTCTCTATAACTCTTTCTTGCCAAACTGAAAACTGTACCCATTTAACAACAACCCCCCAATCTGCCCTCCCACCAGGCCCTGGCAATTACCCTCTACTTTGTATGATTTTGATTAACTTAGGTATCTCATAGAAGTAGAATCATATGTAATTTGTGTTTTTGGTCCTGCCTTATCTCAAGTAACACAATGTGCTCAAGGTCCATCCACGTTGTAGCAGGTGTCAGCATTCGCTTCCTTTTCAAGACTGGATAATATTCCATTGTATGTGCAGATCACATTTTTTTAATCCATTCATCTGTTGATGGACACTCGGGTTGCTTCTACCTTTTTGCTATTGTGAAGAACGCTCATACGAACAAGGGTCTACAACTAAATAACATGTTTGAGTCCTTGCTTTTGGGTATATACTCAGTAGTGGAGTTGCAAGGTCATATGCTCATTCTTTTTAATGTCTTGAGGAACTACCATAGCTTTTTTTTTTTTTT